AAACTTCAAATATTCTCTCATCCAGAATAATGAGTGTTACAATTTTTATAGGTCAAAATCTAACTTGTTCTATGACATTTTTATCAAGTTTAAAGAATTTTCTCTGCTTCTTGCTTACTTCTATTTTTACATCTGTCACTTTAAAAAAAATCAGAAATGAGCACTGAATTTTATTAAATACCAAACGATACATGTAGAGATTTTTCTTCCGGTATTATGGAATTAAATCTATAGATTTTGAAATAATAAACCATTATTTCCAGGGGAAATTTAATTTGGTGATTTATTTAATTTTAAAAATATATTTCTGATAAATTTCTTAATTTTGAACCTGCAAGATAACTTTGATTGTTTTTCTGGTTTGTTTTTCTTGTATTGTTCTCCCTTTTACTTATTAAAAATATTGGTTTATTTATTTAATCATTGATGCAGTTATTTTCTATTGCACTTCTGGCATCTCTAAATGTGAGGTCCATGGATGTCTCGGCTTCCATGCTTATAGAACGACAGTCACTGAGGCTCACTTGCTGGTGTTGCCATGAGTTTCTCCTCTGTGGAGCTCAAGAGCCGAGCATTCCAAAGCCTTCCAATGCAAATGCCTCTCTGGTGACATTTGTCAGGGTCAGAGCGCAGGAGTGACAGGGAATGCTTTATGCTGTGAAGGTTCAGACCTTTGTCAGGGAGAGAGCATTGAAGACAAGCTTTCCCTCTAGGCTGGACTTGCAGGCTCACCCGCTCTCACCTCACAGATCTTGTGCCTCTCTGATGACGTCACAACGTGTCTAAGATGTACACCCTAGGGATTTTTTTCTCAATATTTTTATCAACAGAATAATGGACTAAAGATCAAAGTAAATAATGGGCAGATAAAATAACATATTTACTGTTGGAGACTGACTCTGGTGGTGTTTCTCCTCAACGATCATCAGCAACATATATGCAAATTTAGGATACCATGACAGAGATTTAACTTTCTGTCATCCTAATTTTGAGAAGGATCACTCAGCCTTAAAAAAACAAACAAACCTTATTTTCGTATGATTTCAATCTACAGAGTTATGCTTTTCATTGTCCACAATCACCAGTATGTCCCCTGTGTAACTGAGAAATTGGTTTAATGTTTAGGAGAGTTCTTTGGTAGATTCAATTAAAAATGAGTTTCTAAAATTTGAGTTATAGTCTTGTACGCAACAATTAGTTGGTTTTCCTTCCTTTATGACCAATTATTTAAAATTCTATGTTCAGACTGTCAGATGTGACTATGTAATCATGTTCACACCTACTTCCATAGGTCCCAAAGTCATTTCATAGACATATATATTTGTCCATATAAACTTTTGGCCCATGGCTTGGTCCTCATTGTTGGAACATTGTTGTCACCCCCCCCCATTTCCATGAGGGTCTCTGACTCAGCAGTGTGTGTCTCATCCTGGATCATGCAGCCAATGAAGGGGAAACAGGCTTTGAACGTAGCTGTGTGTATCACTCTGTGGTGATCAGAGGCTGGTGAGAGCAGGAGGTAGTGGAGGTGCCAATCAGTGGGTACTGAGCTCTGGTTAGAGGGGAGGAAGAACTGTGCTGTGCTGTTGTTCAGGGTAATAAGTTGGACAGGGATAATGTACTGTGGGCATCAAGAAACTAGAACAAATGAGAGTAGGCTTCCCCTGCAAGGAACTCATTAATGGGAGGAGATAGGATGAACACTTGTCTTGATTGAAGCACTGTATTACATCAAAACAGAAAATAGTAATCCAGAGGTGTCTACAGTTTTTTTGGCTTTCGTCTCAGTTGAAAATCTATTTAAAAAATTTACCTTAAATTAAATATTAAAATGATAATAAAACAACAAAGTATCTCCGGTGAAGCACAGCGGTCACGTGCTGGCCTGTGCCTTTGTATAGGGAGGTGGTTGCAAATTAACATTTCAAGAAGGGCACAAACTGGTCGACCATGAGAACACTGTGATAACTCAGAACACTATAGTGCCACAGGTAAGAGATGCCCACTTGTCTCTGTGTTATGATTTGAGGCACCACAGCTGATTTAAACAGACACCTCTTTGGTCCTACCCACCTAGTGTCATCTAATAGGGCAGACAACAGTGGGAATCAAAGTGTCAAAAAGTCACTTTGATTTAACTATGTCATAGATTGCTGATTTAATATATTGGGCTATGCCATTAGATTGATTTATTGGTTTAGCCACTGCTGTGTATGGAAATGCATTTTAAGGTGTATGGCTGAGAGTTTACGTAATGTCTCACTTAACCTTAGGTAATTTCTTCAACATCTTGGTTTTGAACGAAGTACATGTCTTTGTGGTGAGAGCTGTCCGGCAGTATCCAGAGAATGCGGCCTTGCAGATCTCTGCCCTCAGCTGTTTAGCGCTCCTCAGTAAGTCACGTGACTAATGAAGACTTCCTTTTCTTTCTTTAAGTGCTGAGAATTAAATCAGAGCTTCATTTCTCCCAGATGAGGAAACTTTCATGGCACCAACAAGCCTGGGTTTTCAAATTCATATGGGATAACAAAAAATCAGATGATCATTGTAGCTGATCCTACTCTAGTTTGGTAGGGTGGTGGTACGCACTCTCTCTCATTATGAAAGAACAGAGTTATGACATGTTTAAAATATTAGAAATTGCTTCATGATTAGCAGGTATGGGAGAATGGTCTGTATTCTGTCAATGATATTTTAAATAAACGTTGATTGCCCAGTAGCAAGGCAGGAAGTATAGGCAGAACAACCAGACAAGAAGTAGAGGCAATGAGAACAGGAGAATTATGGAAAGGAGGAAGCCCATTCCTCTGTAGCCCTGATCCATCCACAGAAGAAGCAAGATGTGACTGCCTTGCTGAAAAAGGTACTGAGCCATGTGGCTAACACAGATAAGAATAATGGGTTAATATAAGTTATAAGAGTTAATAAGAAGCCTGAGCTAATGGGCCAATCAGTTTATAGTTAATGTAGACCTCTGTAGGACTTCTTTGGGACTTAACGATTGCAGGAACTGGGCAGGACAGAAAACCCCGACAACAATTAGCCAGGGCAGTTGGGAAAGAACATTCAAATACTGCATGTAGGCTTGGCCAGTCAAGCTGTTGGTAAATATATATGTAAGGGTTGGAGAGATGGTTTGGTGGTTAAGATCACTGACTGATCTTCCAGAGGTGCTGGGTTCAATTCCCAGCACCCACATGGTGGCTCATAACCATCTGTAATGAGATCTGGTGCCCTCTTCTGGAATGTGGGCATACATGGAGGCAGAATGTTGTATACTAATAAATAAATAAATAAATAAATCTTTAAAAATATACATGTAAACACATATACACTTAACTTTTTTTTTTTTAAAGCTGAGACCATTTTCTTAAACCAAGACTTGGAGGAAAAAAGTGAGCCTCAGGAGAGCAGCGATGAGGAGGACCCCGAGAAACTGTTCTGGTTGGAACCCTGCTACAAAGCCCTGACGCACCATCGAAAGAACAAGCATGTGCAGGTCAGACATGGAGTCACTGCCCTAATTTCAAAAAAGGCTTTCCAATCATTTCTGTTCTGATACAGCTTTTCTTCTTTCCTAACCTAGGAGGCTGCATGCTGGGCACTAAATAATCTCCTTATGTACCAGAACAGTTTGCACGAGAAGATCGGAGACGAAGATGGCCAGTCAGTGCTTTCACTTGACTATGGAAAACCTGGGTTCTGTTTCGGCCAGTGCATAGATACTGTTGTTGATAGTTTTTTATGTTGGTATTTAGGCATAAGCATTGCTACATGTTAGTGGTGGGAATATGATCTTGTCTAGTTTCTTCATAAGAGAGGGTCTTACAGCGCAGCCCACGCTGGAACCATCTATGCCTGGTGAGGTGTACAGCATTTAAATCTCTACTGAGGTGCAAGAGTGTTTTAATTTCTACTCAGGGATTTGGGATCATGAGTCATTCCACAGTTTGTGACTCTTGGAGAATGAACCCCTCAGTTTTCTGGCTGATCAGGTACAAACACATGTTCATTCATGCCAGCTGAGCACACTCACAGAGCCACTAGGGTTCTCAGCCACCTGCCAGCAGGTTGGCTGAGTTAGAAGCCGCCTCCAGCAGGTCCCACCGGACACAGCAATGTGGACCTGTCTACTGAGAGGCCTCTTTGCATAATGGCTCACTGCTGGAAAACAGTGAATTAATGAAGCAGATGTTACTTAAACATCTGGAGAAGAAAACCGATACATCAGGATATGAATGATCCCACGTGAGCAACCTTTTCAGGAACATTCTGGTCAGGTTGATTCAGGCTGCAATTTATACATCTTAATCCACAGCACACGTCATCCTCAGCACTCTGGAGATCTTCCCAGTACATATATTAGGAAAAGAAAATGCATTTATTTCCTCTGTTCTTTGAACCTGCTCTGTTTCTTTACTATATTTATTTCCCCCTCTCTTTCCATTATCCTCATTTCCTCATTTTATATTTTTCTTCCTAGCACCTCATTTTTTAAAGATTATTTTCAGCTAGTTTATGGTTCCTCTGATGACCCATCTCTTCCCCTCAGCCTGTCTTGTGACTGGCAGTGCTCACCGTGTTCTCTAATCCTTTCCCTTATATTTCATGCACCTACAATATTAGGCAATGTACAACATCTATGAGGCTTGCACGAGGCATGGCTTGGTTGTCACGGTCTACTGCGACATCCTAAGCCACAATTGCTTATTGTGCATTTTCATTCATTCGCAGTCAGAATTAGTCCGGAACATAAAATGGAAAACTCCAGAAGGGAGCAGTGCATATAGTTTACTTTTGGCCCTGCTCTGAGATGCAGGAGGAAATCCTGTGCTGTCTGGTCTATTCCTCCTGGGATGTAACCTCTCCCTGTTTATATGTCCACCCTGTGTGATTGCACAACAACTGAGTAGCTGTCTACCCCTCATTCTATGTCTAGAAAGCCATGTGTCCCTTGTATGACTTACAGGCTTTTGAATAAACAGAAAGTTAGTGTTTGCTATGCTTGAATCCAACCTTTACTTAGAGAGTTTTTCAGCTTGTGTTTTTATTGTGAGTGGGGTGGTGTCCACTCAGCTTCCGGGCCTGCCTTGTCAGAGTTCATAGGCAGGGTGAGCATGGGAGCTGGAGACTGCAAACTGAGATGTGGTTGGCTTTTTGAAAGGTTCCCGGCACACAGGGAAGTGATGCTGTCCATGCTGATGCATTCGTCCTCCAAAGATGTCTTCCAAGCCTCTGCGCATGCACTGTCCACACTCCTGGAACAAAATGGTAAGGCAGAGACTACGGACTTTAATACAGAGAAATGACTTTGTGCTGCTCTTCCCTTATAAAAGCTATAAGTTCTGAAAAAGTCAAATATAGAGAGATGTAGGCATGTTTATAGAGGAGTGTATACAGATGTGTGTATGTTGCTAAAGGATAGAAAATAATGCTTTTAGATATATTCTTTAGAACTTCTACAAATGCACTCATGCTATATATTTGTAGAAATTGGAACATATATCCATTTTTAATACATTTTATATTTTAATCCTTATAGTAATAAATGTATTTATTAATGTTATCATTGCCATTTTAATAGCTGTATAACTTTCAAAGATTTATGTGTAATATATGATACACACACACTTATTTAAGGAGTCAGTTTCTGTTGATTTACTTTTGGCTTACTGTGAGAATTTTTAGAAACCGTATAGGGCCTTTTTTCTTCTAAAAGTGATTGCCCATTTTCTAATAGATATTTATTCATATTATTTTTAATATAAATACATTTTCCGCATATATTTTATATGTATAAAGGTGAGACTGATGAGATAATCACCATTTCAAAAACTAGTAAAAGTTATCCAGAAAAAAATGTTTATAGTTACAATTTTTTTCTTGCAAATGGTCTTTCATGTGCAATTTTTGGATTGTAGTTTTGTGTACTTAGAGAGAGGAAGTTGCTCATATACCTTGGATGGATTCTTCAGTTTTAAAGTCCTGGCTCAAACTGCTTCCGATTCCTGACCCCATAAACAGGAACGTTTGCCGGGAAAACTCGTTTGCCACCAGGCTGTGGGGCTTGGCAGCTCTTACAGGACATTTTTAGGCAGTGAAACAGGAAAAAAACGGAAAGATTTATCTGAGACACAGTAGTATGCGCACCATAGTTTAGTAACCAAGCCAGGCCAGGGAGAGCTACAGACACAACGCCCCCTGCATACCGCTCTGTGTTATCCTTTATGTCAAACCAGGAGGGAAAATTTCTCCTTTATATTTCCTCCATTCTCTCCTATCTCTCTGGTGGCCTTTTAATAAAATGAGAGTGTAATCAAATGCATTACATTTATGTGTGAAATTGTTAAAGAACAAAATTAATTAGTCAACAATGAATCTGGCACGTTAGTTACATAAAGGCTTGGGGTAGACAGGCCCTGAGTGATGACAGGGCCTCTCCCAGGACTGAGTCATCGCAGGAGGTCTGGACAGGGCTTGCAATGCAGCTGTTGTTCTTGGTGTCCCCAGAGGCGATGAAGCTTGTCGCCAAGCAGCACAGTGTGATGGCGCTGCCATTCATAACTGCTAGGAAACTTGGTTAGGTCACATTCAGTCATCAAGATTTTGTGACTTGGTATTGCTTTGGTTATGGCTTCTGAGGGGCAGTGACTTTGAGAGTCAGCTTGATGCCTGTTGGAAATCAGTTCCTGCCTTTAATACACCGCCCCACTCCTTTGCTCCAGGCCACCTGCTGGATGAGCTGTTCTTCAATGCCCGTGCACACCCTGCGCTTTCTAGTGTAATGGAGGGGGACGATCTCCAGCAGCCTCCTTCCTCAGCTCCACCACTAAGTCTGTTGGGATAGTGACTGTGAAGGGTGAAGGAATTAGACAGAATGGTGACTCGGGAAACTGAGGCAGGAGGATTGTGTATTCAGGGCCAACCTGGGTTACTGAATCTCAGAGAAAAAGAAAAGAAAAAGAGAAAGAAGTAGGAAGAAGAAGTAGAGAGGAAAAACTGGGGTCTTGGAACCATGGAGATTTGAAGGTATAGGTATATCTTTCATGATAATTTCCTCATTTAATTAATCAGTTAATTCAGTTACAAAGTACCAAGCTCATATTATATACTAGAGACCAGACAGTCTAGGCCCATGTGCTTTGCCAGTTAAATAAAAATTCTAGGCACATAGAGTCAAACTCTTGGGGAAGGCAAACAAGAAACATAACTAAAGAATGTGACATGTGAGGTAGCTAAGCCAAAAATTAAACTGGGAAAGAAGGTATTAGGAATCAGAGGAAATAAAGGTTGAATTGGCAGTCAGTAAACTACTGCAAGAGTTGGCATTTTGTGATTTTCCTTTGAAAGCAGATAATGTTCTGCTGAGATGGAGATTAAGGCCAATAATCTTTTGCAAGTAATGGGAAAACATGAAAATGTTCTGTATACTCAAAAGGAACTTCATGATGCCCACCTTCTCCCAGTCATGTTTGCGACTTTTGAGTAACTCATTGCCTTGCTGTGGGTACGTTCTGAAAATGCGCTCAGGGGGACTCACGTATGACACAAGAACTCTAAAACTCTCTGAGCTCCGCACAGACCAATCTAGTCATCAGCTCTGGAGTTGGTACCCAGTGATCTGTGTTTGAACAAGTCTTTCAGGGAAGTTGGAGGCACACTGATGTTTGAGGACCACTGGACTAGAAGTTTCTCCTTGGTTGGGATACAGGCACTGTGGAGGAGATATGAAAACTCATTGCGTATTTTAATGCATGATGCTCTGGATGTCTTGGGAGGTCTGACCTCTGGTTTTGGTTTCAATTTTAAATGTGTTTTTTTAAATTATATTTTGTCCTGTTTTATTTATTTATGTGGTCTTTTGAGACAGAATCTCACTGTTTAGTCCAGATTGAACTTGAACTTGTTGTGTGGTCCAGGTTATTCTCAAATTCTCGATCATCTTGCTTTGGAATTGATATTTCTGTGAAGGCTTCAAGACAATTAATGCAAAATACTTCAAATGTATTAAGGCAATACATTGAAGGGCTAGAGTGTAGTGAAGGAGTTCATTGCAAGATAGGGTTACTACATGACAGTATCCCTGCGGTGTAGGCTTTTTGTATACATACTATAAAGCCAGCTCTTAAGGCCTCAGTACTGTTCACTAAATGTAGGAGTTACTCTGTAAAAGCCATCAGTGTGAATACTATCTACCAATGTGTGCATGATTGGATCAATAAAACATTTGCAGTCTACTGTAGGAGATATACAAAGTAGTTAGAGCATCCCAGACTAGGCCATTCCCCTAGTCCCTTCACCAGTGAGTTCTGGCCATTGGCTCCATACATGAATATGTGTGGTCTCCCCAGGTCTGCCCCTGGCTCCAATCACCAATGGATGAATGCCCTGTATCTCTAGAGTATCTATAGTCTACTCACTGACATCTATCCTACTAATGAATCTTAGCTCTATATAAGTCTTTCCATTTTGTGAAGTTTAAAGATTAGAAAGACATTTAATTGTCTTTCTTATTGTGAAGAGTGTTGCTTATATACATTTTTCTATAAGACAATTCTTTCTTATGGGTTTTAATATACTGATTATATTATTACTAGTCTACTCTAGAAATAAAAATTAAAAGGAAATAAATAATAAATAATAAATATGGAAAACAGAATGATATATATTTGTAACAAATAGACAGCTATAATGATCTCTAAGTAGCTAGTGCAACACACAATATGCTATATGTGTTCTTGCAAATGTATGCTTCTATTTGTATAAGTATAAGTAACTTGAAGAACACCTTATAGTTAATTTCAGGAGAATCCTGTTGGCAAAAGGAGTATACCTGAATGTCTTGGAGTTGATGCAGAGGCATGCCCTTGTTCCCGAGGTGGCAGAGAGTGGCTGCAAGATGCTGAGTCACCTGTTTGAAGGAAGGTACTGCACGTTCGTGAGGTGTTATACACATGTGGGGGGCACTGGGACAAGTGGGATGGTATCGAAGCATCTGTAGGAATGGGAGGCTAAACACAGCATCTGAGCACAGACCTCTTGTCATCTCTCACTGACAGCATAAACTTATTTTATCTAAGCATGAAAAAGAGCAGCAGGGATTGCAGAAATAAGGTGAAGTTTTACTTCTGTGCTTCACGCATGGTGTTAACTGTTTTGAGAATGACAATCGTTCAGCGAAGCTGATAATAGCTTTTCAAATCATGGTATAAATGTGACGATATAAAAATACAAAAACATGCATTTTGGAATTATTGCTTTTCAGAAGTAAACCACTATTTATTACTATTCCTCCATCTGAGTTAACTTTGGCTTCTCTGCTTCCTCTCATTCCTTTCCCAACGTACTCATTGTCTTATGAAGTTCAAAGCCAGCCTTGTTGATACTGTGTCTGGTTAGTGGCACAACAGAGGCCAGATATTATTATCTGTGCTAGAATAGCTGGGGGGGGGACTAGAGGTTTGCAAAACCTGACAAAAATTCCAAGCAGGTGTCCCTTCCACTAAGTATATGCTTAGTGTATTATCTCATCCTATTGAGCCAAAACTGTATGATAACGTGGCATTATTTGGTTGATAGCAAATCAAACGCAGTTGTACAAGAAAAAGATATAAGTACAGGTGTTGAGGCTTAGATGGATTTGGTGTCTTGGAGTGTTGTTGGACACTATTCCTAGGGAGAAATAAATAACTGTCTGCTCACCCCAGATAGGGACTCTACAACACACCAAGACAGAATACCACCAAAGTCCAATTTGGTGAACCAATGTGTTTTGCTGGGGTTACTCATAAGAATATGGGTGAAGAATTGCTTACTGGGATAGAAACGACTCAGAGACAGCTGCATCACCAAAGCCAACCCCAGTATGCGTGACAACTCAAGAAAGCTGGGAGCCTGGAGCACACTGCATGGCCTGCAGGCAGCTCAACACATTGGAGATTGTCCCTCCCAAGTGACTGCGTTGGTCTAAAGTTCTTCCAGGCAGCTGGGCTAGCCTGGGAGTCCTCTGGACAGCTCCGCTGGAATCTGTCTCTGCTGGAAATCTTGGCTGCAGTGAGAGGGTTGCTTAGCAATCCTTACAGCTTATATAGGCTTGGGGACAGAGGAGTCTCATGAATGTAGTCAGTTTCGGGCTTCCTGAAGCTTGCTTTGTGAGCTTTCCTTCAGGGTGGGATGTTTTTACCTCTTCTTAGAACATACAGTGTCATGACAAGCATCTTTCTAGATGGAGGTTTTATCTCAGAGGAAGCTGAATGGATTTCTTTGGCTAATATATGAACCAATAATTGAATGGTTAGACTTCAGAATATATTTAAAAAAAATAAAGGGGCTAGATAACAGTGTCAGAAGATAGGATTTTATGACAGAAGGATTAAATACATTTATTTTCACAAGGGATTAAGATAATGCCCAGTGAATTTTAAGTTGTCAGTAAATCTTAGCTGTTAGCAATAGTGTTGTTATATGCACATAACGTAAGCTGTGCACAGCACATCTACAGACTTGTAAAGAGTAGAGTTACACTGTCCTTAACAAAAGTCCAGCTAATTTACCCTTATAGATCTGTCGTATTTCTCTTCTTTAAATATGGCTTCTAAACCTAGTTGAAATGTTTCAGTGTTGCTTTTGATGGTGTTGAAAGTGTGTTACAAGGTTTCAGTCAACAAATCACTGTGTGAGGCAAACAGCCATCTTGCCTTCCAGACAGGCATGTTTGCTCGCCTGTGAAAGAAGAGAGGCACATATGCCTTGGAGATGCCACGGGTTTAACGTAAACTAATGAATTATATGTAAGAATTCTGACGAAGCACCTTGGTGTGATGCAGGAGTCCCGGCCTTGGCTTTGCCTCTTTCTAGCTAAAAGACTTTGATAACTCCTCCTTCAAGCAAGTTCTTCATCTGTAAAGTCGTAATGTGACCCCATCTTTCACAACTATTGCCAGTGTTCCACAGACTGGTCAGAAGAAAGATGTCATTTTCTAAAATTAAATCAAAAGAGCCCCAAATTCTAATTCTTAAGGTCGGAATTTAAGCACTTGAAAGTTTGGTTGAGTTCCAATGTGTTTATATCTACGTCTTATGGCTTTTCCTGGTAAAATGCGTTTCTTCTGTTTTCAGTTTGGTATTTGTACATATACACCAGATTGTATTTTTTTAACACTTCATTTTTCATTCCTAGTAACACTTCCCTGGACACAATGGCTGCAGTGGTCCCTAGAATAATAGCAGTGATGAAAACCCACGAGACATCTCTGTCAGTGCAGCTGGAGGCACTGCGAGCTATTTTGCATTTTGTAGTTCCAGGTGAGTCACAGAATCGATCGTATGTAGAGGCCATGAAGCATTGGCTTTCTAGGCAAAGCTAAAGGAACCAAATTGTGATCACCAGAGGCAGGTCTTTCTGCCAAACTGATGATAAAATTCATGAGAAAGGGTGATCTAGATGAGTCACTAAGATTAATTTGTAAGACAACTTCATAAAAATATTTAATCCATAATTTACATAAGAAATAAACACAGTGTAAAAAAATGGACCTTCTGTCCCTAAGGACAATTCTCTTGCTGTCAGTCAAGTTGAAGTTCAAGCTAACACAGAGTACTCTCTTTCACCCCCGTCTATTGCTTTATTTCCAGCCTTTGCCTCTGTGGTTTAGTTGGCTTTTCCCTGGCAGAGGCACATGACCCTTACTCATTAACTTCAATGACCTCCTTCTGTCACCGGCCTTACTCTTGCTGTTGCTGTGTTTGTCCTTCCAGCCCCACATTCTCTCAACACATGCTTATTAAGTCCCTCCTGTTCTGAACACAGCAGTACTTTATTGGGTCAGATGCTGCGATTACAGGAGTTCAATAAACAGTTAATTGCCACAGAGAGAGAAGGTCCACTATAGACAAATGCAGGGAACATATGAGACTAATGATGGACCTAATGTCTTCAAAGCAGAATGTAGGTCAGAGATTTGATGTCTGCAGTTGAAAGGCGAGTCAAAGGTCAGGAGCAACTCTCAGGATAAGGAACATACATGTACACATCGTCTGGGGTAACTGAAGACAATGAAGGGAAGGTATGGCCCTGAGTGTGGGAGGGTAAATGAATATAGAAAGTAAGCTTTTGTTCAACACCCTATTGCTCTTTAGAACACTATTACTGAGAATCGGAGGACTGTTTTTTATCCTGTTCATTTACTTTTAATCTAGTAGTAAAGTATTCTTTTTGATTGAGGAAGGTGTGTTATAGAAGTTTGAGTCAGATTAGTTGTTGCATTTATTTTCATATATGCATGTGTTTTCCCATTTTAATTGTATATATCTATGAATTTTAAAACTTTTTAGATTATTGAATTATCTATATTTACATTTTTGTTTTTATAACTCTAAAATTATATATGTGTGTATATATCCATATATATGAATATGTGTATATAAATACACACACACACATACACACACCATTAGAAAATGAAGAGCTTATACCACACAACTCTGATAACAAGTGGTAATGCAAATGACTTTTGGAACTATACAAAATGTGCTTATTAATATGTATTACAACTCAGGACCACAACCCGGTAGTGTTGTGGTCATATTTGCAATTCATATCAGTGGTGGCTATATATGGTGATTGGGTGGGGGACTAAATGTAGGAGAGTTAGTTAGGTTTATGACAGTCAAGTGGGACTTAGTGGGTGGGCTGGTTGCAGACAGAATGAATTTGAAAGTTAAATAGAGGATCACTAATAAGTTTCTTGTTGCTCTTAGCGTAATGTTCCAACCTTTTTTGAACTTGATATTTATTCTCCATAAAATAAAAGTTTTCTAAATCAACTATTTTTTTGTAGTGTGTTTTCTGTTTCATAGTTCAACTAATTTTTACTGTGAGACAAGTGTTCCCTTCGAAGGGTCTCTGCTTAGTAATTTTATTTTTTAATCTGATATTTTGAATAAAAACAGCAATCAATCTACATATTTTTAATTAAATCATTTCCCATTCATCACTTATAGTGAAGACATAATTCTACTTAAAATTTTATTATTAATTTTTTAAGTTTGTAGATTTAGGAAAAGGAAACAATAGCAATCTGCCCCCTCCCCCACTTAGTTTTGTGAGTCGGGGTCTCACTATGTTGATCAGGCTATCCTAGAACTAGCTTTGTAGACCAGGCTAGCCTTGAACTCACAGAGATTGCCTGCCTCTGCCTCCCGAGTGCTGGAATTAATGGCATGTGCCACCATGTTCAACTTAACCAATTCATTTTTTAATCTTCAGTGCTCACAGTTTATTCCTTTGAAGGTGGCTGGATTCTTAAAGAGCAGCAGAAGCCATTTAGAATCATGCCTGTTCATTAAAACATCAATAATCTTTTAGATTAAAAAAAAACATAGTTTGAATACACACTTTTTTGTCAAAGATTTTCTGTGTACGTGTGCGTCACCAATTTTTTTAAAAAGTGTGTCATATACACACAATGCCTGTGGACACCAGTGGGGACAGACAGTAGTTAGCAGTCTAACATGAGACTGGTAAACTGAGTCTGGGTTCTGTAGTCAGGCATCTCTCTCCTGCCTGCCAGTTCCCAAATAACCACTTAGAAGCTTGATATTAATTTTAAATGCTCGGCTGATAGCTCAGGCTTGTTACTAGATAACTTTTACGCTTAAATTAACCCATATCTTTTATTTATGCTCTGCCACATGGCTCATGGATTGTTACCTCACTTTCCACATATCTTGCCTCCTTGATTGCTGGTTGGTGTCACCCTCTATCCGTCTTCATCCCAGCATCCCCAGTTTAACTGTCCCTCCTGACTTTATCCTGCTTTGCTATAGGGTAATCAGCTTCTTTATTGACCAATGAGAGTAATGCATATTCACAGTATACAGAAGGATTATTTCCACAGCGAGGTCCTCTGGAAGAGTGGCAGTTGCTCCTAATCTTAATATCTGTGCTGTCTCTCCTACCCTGCACTTTCTCTTAGAATGACTGGGAATTGACCCTGAATCAGTATAGCTAGCTAGTCAATAGTTAGTTAGATGATTATTGCTGCTTTTTAAAATGATGACTTTAAGGCCATACTATATATATATATATATATATATATATATGTGTGTGTGTGTGTGTGTGTGTGTGTGTGTGTGTGTGTGTATGTATGTATGTATATGTATATGTGTGTGTGTACATACATGCCAGTAAACACACCATTATGTGTGCACACTAACAGGTATGGCATTACCACCTGTCTCTACTCTATATGTCTACCATTCTTCTTTGCAATACCTAGATGATAAAACTAAGGTACACAGACAGAAAGATTTTGGAAAATTTCAACTGATTCAGCCTAACTCTACCATATATTAGTGTCAAACTCTCAAATCACAGTTACTCTGAAGCACTGTGCTTGGACCCTTAGACATAGGGAGATGGCTATGGGCCTGCCACTAAAAGTTCACAGTGCACACATCTCACAGGCTTTTCCATGGAAGGGAAATCACTTCCGTTCTGGGAAGCAGAACGGTGAGATGAAAGATCAGGAATGCTCATTTGGTCATGATAAAAGGATGATGTCAACAGAAATTCATTACATGTGGCCAGGGGTTTTATCACTCAGTGTTACTGCCTCTGATTGGCACATCTGCTGGTGGAGCAATGAGAAGCTTCGGAAACATGTGCAGCCCTGCTCACTGAAAATGCAGCAGAGATGCCAATGCATTTTAAGTGGAGATGAACAGTTCCACCAGGTGGGAGACTAGCACAACCAAAATTATCCTTCAGCAAGTGGCAGTTTGCTCAACCTAAATGGATTAGAGAAGAATTTGTCTGTTTTTGTTACTTCTTTGTTCTGAATTTAGGAATACCAGAAGAATCCAGGGATGACTCTCAATGCAAACTCAACATGCTCCAAAAACAGTATCTCAGGACTGACATCCACAAGCTAGTTCTAGCAGCTCTGAACAGGGTATGTTGAACATGGACTTTTTGCCTTTATACCATTAGTTAGACGATGAAATTTGGGGACCGGGGGTGGAGCTTCGAATTTCCTTTTCCTTTCCTTTGCTTACCGAGATAGTTAGAATTAATGTAATTAGAAGACAGGGCAACGGTAGGAATATTGGGGTGAATGGTTATGTACTAAGAGAAAGGTAAGTACAGAGCTAACTAATGCAAGTTTCTCCCTGTGTTTGCTCAACCAGAAAGTCAATGAAAGAGCCAGGTCTAGATGTTGGTACCTGGGCTGCTGTTTTCTCTCTGATGAACCATTCTTCCTCCATAGTCCAATGGTGAAAGATTCAGCTAACAGAGACACACTAGACAGAGCATCACCATCTTATCTGATGCCTGTGCATATTTTTCATGGCATTCCTAAGATGAATTATCATGAGTGTGATCTCAATAGAGCTATCAATAAGTATGTCTTGAGAGTCAGCTATTATTTATCAAAGCAGAGACTAAAATAAGTATTTATTTATATTTATTTATTTATTTATTTATTTATTTATTTATTTATTTATTTGGTTTATTGAAACACAGTTTCTCTGTGCTACACAGTTCTGGCTGTTCTGGAACTCATTTTGCAAACCAGACTGGCCTTGAGCTCACAGAGATCTGCCTGCCTCTGCCTCCTGAGTGCTGGGATTAAAGGTGTGCGCTACCACAGCTGGTTAAGAAAAGTACTTACTAAAGTGAGCCAAGGCTTTGATATATAAAACAGAACATTATAATTCAAGCTGAAGGTAATCTCTCTTTGGATAATTGGCCTTCAGCTCATGCTGGATCTTGAGAGCTGTTGACAGTTGTTCACAGTGCTCAGTCATCTATGCCAGACATTCCTGCTTGTCTGCTGTCTTTTCTAGGGAACCAGGTAGGCTCCCAGCATGCTGCTGGATCTACATCTATGTGTCTGCAGAGGCACACCTGCTTCTTTGAACAGGAAATTCAGTGAAATAAAAGCTGTTCTACTGATGAGATAGTTCCAGGTCAAGACTTTCTGGTTCACAAAAAGGCTTAGAGCAAAATATTGACAATTTAAGGCAAGTATTAAATAAAAGGTGGAAAAGAGAACACTCTCAAAAGGGAGTTTCATATAAGTGATATTAAATGTTTGCAGAAAAATGAATCTAAGAGGTAGAAGAGTCAGACAAAGAGTTAAACACACAAGAACATAGAACTTCATGGAAGACAAAAGCAATGTTGAGCTGCATATAGGAAGCTTTTATAAAAATTACATTACTAGTTTCTTAAACGAGGTAAACAAGTATAAGATGTACATGAAGCAGTCAATTTGCAGTAAGACTTGCAAGAGGACTGAGAAGGAGAGATAAGTCATGTGGCCTAATTTCAGTGGGGGAACCAAATGTTTTGTAAGCTGTTAGTGACAACGTGTGACATTGGCACTGGAGGAAGTGTGGTCAGTTCCATAGGATTCTGACTCCGGAATTAGCCACAAGCAAAAATGTGCAGTTGGTGCATGATATTGATCAACATTGAAGGAAAGAATTCACACAGAGATTTATGTGACTGGAATTTAAGGCCAGCCATTTGGGAAAAACATAGAAGCTTAATATTTACTCTTTGGGTCAAAACACATAATATGTGGATAGAACATAAAGGTAAAAATATTAAATTGATGTATGTGCATATGTAAAAGTTCTCAACTATAACCACATATAAAGACTATAGTCACGGTGTGGATTCAAACAACAGACAATATTTAACAATATTTCTAGGAAATTTGGCAACTTGCTGTGGTGTCTCATACCTGTAATATCAGCTCTTGGGAGTCTTAGTCAGGAGGATTGCCACAAGTTTAAGGCCAGCTTTGTTTACAAGTGCATTGCAGGCTAGCCTTGGGTACAATGAGACAATAAAAACAAAAAAAATGAAATATCAATCACAATTAAAATGGACATATTTTCCGGTCTTAAAATATAGATGAACTTGGGCATGTATATGAATATTTTAGATAAGAATGTTCATTGCTGAATTATTTGTAATGGAAATCATGCCAGTGACCTAAATTTTTCCCTAGTGGTTATCGTGTGGAATGACAGGTGCTTGTAACTTCAACATAGGGAGACCTTGGATTAGTATTTTGTCAGATAGTGGTTTGGAGTATTGCTTAATTTTAACAAGAGTTGAAGACAAAGGTTATTTTTGTGAGTTCTCTGAGAAACAGTCAACAGGGAGTAAGGCATCTTCCAGAACATTCTGTCAGGCTCTCTAATCTGTTGTGTTTGCCAGCGATGGTTCTGTTTGTAGCAGTACTCATGTGCTGATGATGAGCAGAGAGCCTTCTTGTCAGAAATACGTGTATTGTCAACAAGAATGAAACCTATTGCTCTTCAGCCTATGAAATTTGAGGAGTTTTACTACAATTTAATTTAATCTGTCCTGATAATGTGACTACTATTGATAGATGAAAAGCAAGTGAGTTGTACTGCTTCCAAGTTAGGTAGTTCTGTGTAGAGGTTAAAAGGCAGCTCAGTGCCGTTTCTAATGCACTGATAAGTCGCTATCACAGATTCTCCACAACCACGATGATGGTTCTCCAGGTGTTGGGTCTTCTTTCATTTATGTTTACATTCTAAGCATATGTTTTGATGGAATTGATATTTTTCTTGTTCCTAGTGTCTTCTCCCTTCTATCACTCAAATTTTTTTGTAGATCATACATTTTGTTCTTGCTTCCTTGACATGCACGACTTTCCTTCTGGTCTGAATCCAACTGCACTCACTATGTTCTTATCAACCCCTCCAGTGTACTAGGTAGCACACAGATGTAGTGAACAGCTTGTCACTTGGGCTGTTAGATAGGCACCTGGCACAGTATGAACCGCTAAAGGTTAACATTGTCATCTTCACATTTTGGAGGGCATTTTGATCTCTGGCTACAAAGGCTGGGGGGCAGGCATAGTCTCATCCATGTCTCTACTTGTTTTCCTGTTGACTTTTGTGAAATAATTTTACATTAACAGAATATATAGTATTTCCTATCAGCTTTAGACTCATGCTTTCTAAGTTCTGTTTCCTTTTATTCCATCAGTTTTCAGCGAGTCTCTTTTTCTAGCTTTTGTATTCATATTTTCACACAACTTCTCTTAAAGTTATGTTCCCTAATATTTGACGTTTTGGATTTTGTGTACCTTTATACGAGAACTTGTCATTTATTTTTTACTTGTGTACATTCATGTATATCTGTATCTGTGTGCAGAGGAATAGGAGCCCAGAAGAGGGTGTCAGATCCTCTAGAGTTGGAGTGAGCCACCCGAAGCCTACTGTGGTTGGGAACTGGACTCTGGTCCTCTATAAGAGCAGTGATTGCCCTTAACCACTGAGAGCCATCTCTCCAGCCATGTGTTTGAACTCTCAACAAGATTAATTTAATTGACTGTGAAACATTGAGTGTTTCCTTTCTTTTACTGAATGTTTACAGGCATTCTTCTAGTGTTGGGTGTCTTAGTAGAGAATTCTGAGACAGGCTTACATTTTTTCCTTACTTTTATGTTTACAGTTTCTCCTGGATGCCAGAAATTTCTTGCCCTTGAATCCCAGTCATGTTGTTGAAGCATATCTTGATGCTAGTTTTGACATCAGCTAACCAAATACCCAGTCTTTTTTTCATGGGAAGATATTTTTTTTAATTAAATCTTCATGAACATAGGTTTTGTTCTGCCTGTTTACCTCTTTCTAGAAACCATATAATGTTGGATCTCTTCTGTCCTCACCTTCTGCTGTTTTAAGAGAATAATGTGAGGAACAGTCTATTTAACAGCATACTCTCTCCCTGGTGGGATGGGACCATACATCCATATGTGTATCTTTTCCTATTAAGAGTGGAGATGAGAAATATAAGAGAATATGGAGCATTAGAAAGAAAATTGAAACCACAAATGACCAAGGCATTGCTTTCCTTTCCTTGTGGAGTCTGCTTAGCTGGCTTTGAGAAGAGTCCAGCGTAGGCAACTTCAGCTTGAGTTGGCTGACTCATTGGAGAAGCCATACCAGTCAGTGATGGGCAAATTCTCTGGAAAGACTTGAAGGTTGTGCAGTGCAGAGTGGAGGGTGTTTCTAATTAATGCCTGTTGACATCCTTCCAGTGATGTCTCCAGTGTTTTCTCTTGGAAACCACTTGTTAAGTCAGAACTTGTAAGTTAATCTTGATCCATATTTTAACAGTAACACAGTAAATACTGTTTTCAAGGTGAAGAAATAGGTGATTGCAGGAAAACCCACTGTGGGCTTGTAAGTATTGTATCCTATTTTAGGTTATTAGATGCTTTAGGCACCGTCACTTGTGATCATACAATGGCGATTCTGTTGTGCGGACAATCACAGATTTCCTGATGTAAATTATTAGTCGGTTGCTAAGCTGGCTCTGCAAAGGTTAGAGGTTAAGGCAGTCCATCAATAATTAACTAAAAATTAAGTAGAGGTGAAGATATTAAACATGAGGCCTGACTAGACATCTAAGATAGTACCTGTCACCAAGGGCATGATGGCCTTAGTTCAGTCCCTGGGACAGAGATGATTGAAGGGGAGAACTCATTCCCACAAGGGGTGCTCTGACCTCCGTGTGGGAGGTGTGTACCCATACATACCCACAAATGTACTTATATGTGCACACAAAATCAATAATGTAATAACTTTAAAAAGATATAAAACATAAGGAGAGTCACTTTGTGCCTGACTGATGATGCATTTAGAAGCAGAACTGAATACATGGTTCATGGAGTTCAATATCAAAGAAAATTACAGCTTCCCTGCTTTGAAAATTTCAATTATTTCAAGACAAAGTCAGCAGAATGTAAAAACAAGGCGAGGTCCCTGCTAATAATTAGGGCACGCTCAGGAAGCTGGCTTTGCCTGTCAAACAAGATGGCACAATTAACCAAACAGCAAGTTCAATAGGGCAATCCTCCGTTTGTCTTTTGAGACGACACTAAACTTTGGTCTTGGGACACATGATCGTAATATGCCTGTGTCAAGGAAGGAGAAATATGGTCCTGTGGTCTGAGTTTAAACATGTTTTTGTGTTAACTGCTCAAATTTGTACATCCTCACTTTGTTTCACTGATGCATAGAGCTATAGTGTGTCTATACAATAAGATTTGTGATAATTTAAATGTTAGTATACACAAAATTATTTTTCTTTTTTACTAACGTTTTATTTCAATTCCTTGTATGTGTACAATTTTAAAGTATTTCTTTTATTTTTGAGATTATATTATAATCACATAATTTCCCCTTCTTTTCCTCTTTCCAACTCTTTCCATATACCCTTCCTTGTTCTATTCCTAATTCATGGCCTCCTTTTTCATTAATTGCTGTTACATGCATGTATTTATATATACTCCTAAATATAGTCTGCTCAGTCTGTGTGATGTGACTTTTATGTATATTTTCAGAGCGGATCATTTGGTATTGGATGATCTGTTGGTGTGCTCTTCACTGGGAAAGAGCTCTCCTGTTCCCAGGATTTCTGATATGCTGATCTCTCTTATGAATAGAGTTTTTGGAAAGAAATTTTGTGCAGTTTGGAGTTGCAGGAAGATGGAAAATGCATGGCTTTAAAGTTTGAGCATGGTATAGAGTAGCATGTCCTTGGAACTCAGGAAATGCGAAGGCAGCAATTAAACTGTTAGGGGACTTTTTTCTCTCAATGCTTTTAATTCAGAGTTAAAAGAGCAGTCTGATTATATAAAATTAAAGCGTAGCAAGAATGTGGAGGTAGTGGGTGGAGACTTTCCTATTAATAAATTTAGAAGTGAAGGAAAAAGGAAACTGTCTCTCGCCTTAGCTTATGCTTTCTTTCTAATGAGAATTTTGGCCTGGCTTGCAATGTCAGTCCATGTTGATTGCATGGTCAGAGTTATTCCTGACCCTAGTAACACTGTATCATGAAGGTTGTGTTAGAGAGTAGGGTATCCGAGACATCACCAAACACTTCTACCTTCACATAGTGAGACCACAATTGTACTTCTGCAGTAATTAATTCCTAACCACTTTGGAGCTGATATCTTTGATATTATTCCATTCTTTATGGTCTTCAGATTATAGAATGTAATACATCTCTGACTCACTGCAAAGATAATGCAGTATTTACTACTCAGAAGTAGGGAATGAGATGCTAGTAGCATTGAAACACAAAATCCTCAAAAAGGGGAGGGTAAGAGTGTCTTGCTTAAACGATCCAGGAAATTATGACAAGCTGAGCATCTAGAGTTGGAGAACAAGGCACAGAAGGAAGCTGCTTAGGTTCCCAGTCCCTGTGGGGAACAAAATGATAGACAAAGACACTCGAGAGATCATAGAGAGAAGGGTAAACATCTGTAGACTGGTTACAGACAAGCGAAGGCTGGAGACAGGAGGCTTTGGCCATGTAGGTTGCCTTAGAGCTTGTGATCTGGCTTGAAGTTATCTCAACATTGTCCTGTAGCAGTGTGGGGGGTGGGGAATAGATTTGGGGATGGAGATTCTGTGAAATAAGTGGTTGCATGATGTATCTGTGTGAAATTACGTCCTGAGAAAGCCACTGTGGTACTCTTTGAAGGAATCCCTGTCAGCTGAATAGTCACGTTATTGGAGAGGTGGGAGAGTAGTATCCATGTGGGGGGAGCCAGAGATGGCCAGGGCTAAATATATAACACTGGCATTGAAAGAGGGCTGTAGGAACGTGGTTGTCAGCATGTATGCTGCCTCTTCTTAGGGAGTAGCTTGTCCTTGAAAGAGAACTAGATTCCATCAGGATGCCCATAAAGCTCAAATTACTGAAGGAAAGCCTGATTAAAGAAAAGATGTGGTGCTTGAAATCTAGGTCTCTAAGACAGACTCATTAATATCCCAGGCC